AGATTCCTTCTTCTACTCTGCCCTGTATCTTCCCTCCCATGAACCCCCACGTACTTTGGCCACTTGTTTCCTGACCTCTCTGGATTTTTCAATTGAAACACAGATATCTAAAAATCCAAAGCTAGCCTCAAGCTATGATTGAATACAGGTGATAACTGTCTTTCTGGGTCTGTGGTACCTCACACAGCCTGAATATTTCAAGTTCCATCCATTTACCTAAATATTTCATAATTTGGGTTTTTGACAGATGAATAGTATTTCACTGGGTAAAGGTGCCATACTACCATTATCTATTCATCAGTTGATGGACAATCTAGGTTGTTTCAATTTTCTGGTGATTGTGAAAAAGGCAGCTATGAACATGAATGAGCAGGTATCTCTCTAGTAAGACGTGAGTTCTTTGGGTTTATACCCAAGAATGGAATGGCTGTTTCATATAATAGATCAATTTCTAACTTTTTGAGAAATTTCCACACTGATTTCCCATAGTGACTTTACCAATTTGCATTCCCACCAGCAGTGGATAAGAGTTCCCCTTTCTCCACATCATTATAAACATTTGACCTTGTTTTAATTCTTATTTAGTGGGTGGTGGTCAGAAGAGGGAGTATGGGGAGGGATAAATTACATTAAAGGTCTTTAGAAAAACCCATATGGATGCTGTTACCATGGCTTTGAGTTCATATGAATAACTTTCCAGCTGTCTGGAAAACTCTATTACTTTGTGGCCATACATGACCTCTGGCTCTTGCACTCTCTCATGTAACCATGAAAGATTCTTAGCATACAGCCTAACCATGCCATTCTTGGAGTTCTGAGGCACAAACCTGGGGATGAATGAGCTGCTAAATCAATGATCATTCATGACTCATCAAAAGAAATATAAATCTGCTAGTGTTGTGAGATATTCAGAAATCTACACAGCATTTACCTTCCCACTGAGCTCATTGCCAGGATGGTGCTGAAGTCTTTGCCTTGGACTGAACTGTAAAAGGTCTGACCATTTTCCACCACAAGAATTTTCCTAAAATTCATCCATTTTCAGACAACGAAGGTGGAATCCTGTTCTATCAAAATACAAAGAGGAACATATTATATCATGGTCTATTCTTTTGTATTTCTTGTTCACTTTCTGTGGTAATTGAAGGAACTCTGGAAAGGGACAGGAGAGAACTATGAACAATTCAAACAGACTTGAAGCTCAGTGCCACCTGTACCTATGATGAAAGTTCTCAGTGTTTTAAGTGACCATTAAAGTTGGTTCCTTTAAGGAGAGCCATCATGAAAATGTTCAAATTGTAATCTTATTCTAAGTAAAAGTATATTTTTCTATTTCTTTTAAAATTTATATTGCAATTTGTGTTGTTTGTTCTACCTATCATCCAGTTATAGATCCAGTTCTGGTGTTATTCTAGCATACATTTTCTTGGTGTCATAGTTTGCATATAAAGAAGTAATCACCAAAAGACTCCTATGTAAAACATTTATTTCTAACCTGATGGAGGTGATTGGATGATGAGGACTTCCACATAATCAATGGATTCATCTATTGATTTATAATTGAATGGCATTATTGGGAGGTGGTGGAAAGTCAAAGATCTATGCTAGTATGAAGACTTAGATCACCAGGGCCATGTCATTGAAGAGGATGTCTTTTTCCTGGACCCTTCCTTTTCTCCCTTTACTTCCCAGTATCCAAGAGGTGAGCAATTTCCCCTGCCATGCT